GCATTCAATCGAATGGGATGATTTATACAATTCAGAAAATCAAAATGACTTTTCTATTGTTAAGCCAAACAGCAGGGTTAGAGTTAAATTATAGTTTCTACCTGGATGATTGCTACCTTACTTCACCTTGATGGACTAGAATCGGCTCCAGATGGGAACAATGATGCTAGAAAGGTTCCTAGCAACCTAGAAAGGTTGGCACAACTAGAGCTGTGACAAAATGGGTTTTCCTGGTGTGAGGCTATGGCAGAGAATGTGAGGGCAGGCCTGGCTTCTGTTCTCTTGTTGACAGCTATGACCTCAGGGGGCATCTGCCCTCTCCCCCTCCACACTGCCAACACCCCTCCTACCCAGGTCCCCCGGCCTGTGCTTCCTGGAAGAGGTAGTAGAGGCATCCTGAAGTCAATGACAGCTGAGAAGGAAGGTGCATTTCAGCAGCAAAGCAGCACCTTGGCCTGTGGTCTATACCTCCACACAGATGGAATCAAGTCAGAATGTGCACAGCCACGGCAGAGGATGCTCCCAGCGTGGGAGGCGCAATCCTCCCAAGCAGCTCTGGAGAACACACCTTCAAAAGACTCAAACTTAATCCCATGGTCCCCAGGGGTTTCCCTATCAAAAGCAAAATTATCTCGGCAGAGGGTTAATAAAGAAAGGCAGGGATATTAATGAGCATCTGTGAAGGCTCTCTCTCTCTCCCTCAAGCCTAAGGAAATAAGATATTCGAGTGTTAAGAGAGGGGTGCAAAGAGAGAGAGAGAGAGAGAGAGAGAGAGAGAGAGAGAGAGATGGTAGGAACACCAGGAAAGAACTGCTTCCTTGCTCCCCCACGCTCTGCCCCGGCTCGCCCAGCTCCCCGGGCTGGGCTTGGTTAAATACTCGCTGGGTGATTGAGGACTCCTGGTGTGGGATTAAGTAATTAAGCTGAGGAGGCTCTGGAAGCTGCCAGATGCCCGCCCTGGGGGTGTTCTGGGGGTGTTCGCAGAACCAGCTGGGCCAGAGCCTCTGCTCCTGCCCAGGGATTAAGCTGGCAGCCTGGGCTCCTCGCAGGCCCCCCATGGCCAGGCCGCCCCCCTGACTCCAGGCTTCTGTAGTTGCCATGACAGGGGCACAGCGCCCGCCCTGCCACGCCTGAACTCAATCACGATGGCCGTGACGCCGTTGCCCCATTTTGCTTCCATTAAAAATGTCTGTGTATTTCCAACCCTCAGCCACCGGCTTCCGCCAGCGGAGGCAGCCTGCGCCCTGGGCGAGGTCACCTCTGAGGAGACCAGGGGCCTGTGGCTGCCACAAAGGTGGTTGTGACCACAGGGGCTGAGGTTGGGGCCACACCAAGGCTCCAGGGCAGCCGTGGGCAAACTACGGCCCCCGGGCCGGATCCGGCCCGTTTGAAATGAATAAAACTAAAAAAAAAAAAAAGACCGTACCCTTTTATGTAATGATGTTTACTTTGAATTTATATTAGTTCACACAAACACTCCATCCATGCTTTTGTTCCGGCCCTCCAGTCCAGTTTAAGAACCCATTGTGGCCCTCGAGTCAAAAAGTTTGCCCACCCCTGCTCCAGCGTCTTCATGGCCTGGCAGGCCACTCACGGAACCCCGCTCAGAGGAGAGGGATGCTGGCCTGGGTGGAGAGGGGCCCGGGTGCTGAGATGGCGCCCCTAGGGTCACCCTGGCTCAGCCTGACTCGCTCCCGCTGGCATCAGCAAAGCCCCCTGGGCCACGGCATCAGACACCAAACAGGAGCAGATAAGCTGGCCTCTGCGGGTCTCCCCGTGCTGTGCGCTTCCTCCTCAGCCAGAGGGAGCCACCAAGGCGGATGGAGGGAAGGGTGGTGCGCGATGCGGTCTCACCAGGCGCCTCCCAAAGCCGGTGCTGGGTGTTCGGGTGGATGTTGGACGAGAGGTCCGGCTCGTTCTTCCAGGAACACACAGTCCAGTGGCTCTTCGTCGTTCCCAACAACAGGAATGCAACTGAACCTAACACTCCATTTCTCACCCCACAGATGGGCACACCGTCCGCAGGCCAGAGGCACTGGGCTGGGCCTGGGAGCAGGTGCTGCACCCGAGGTGGGTGTGGAAGCGGCAGCATCGGGGAGGGATCTGTCTTGTCCCCACAGGTAGGGAGACACAGGGACCTGGCCCGCAGCCCCAGCTCCGCAACTCGGTCACACCGGCCACCTGCACAGCGACCTACATATTCCATGGCTCCCGGGGCAGAGCCCACAGGGCAGAGGGTGGGAGGGCCTGGGTTATTGCGCCCGGGCTGCTGGGAACAACAGGTAGCTCTGAGCGAAAGCGAGAGCGAGAGCGAGGGCGACCTGCTGTGAAGGTCATCAGAGCATGAGGCCAAGTGAGAAGCAAAATACAGACCTGCAGGGGTGGGGGGAGGAAGGTGTCAGCATGTGCTTTTATTTACACAAACAAACAAAAATGATACAGCTGATGAGGGAACTGGGTGTGGCAGACATCTTTAAGATCATGCTGGGCTTTGAACTTCAAGCTATCACCCGGCCGGCTGGTGTGGCTCAGTGGATTGAGCATCAATCTGTGAACCAAGAGGTCCCGGGTTTGATTCCCAGTCACAGCACATGCCTGGGTTGTGGGCTCGATCCCCAGTGTGGGGCGTGCAGGAGGCAGCCAATCAATGAGTCTCTCTCATCATTGCTGTTTCTATCCCTCTTCCTCTCCCTTCCTCTCTGAAATCAATAAAAAATATATATATATTTTAAATCTATTGTAACCAGGTTGTTTTGGTATTTGAGTTCCTCAAAGATGAATAGTAGGAGCTCCTTAATGCCTCCATCAATCTTTTTCTCCCTCTTTATAATCATTACTATTTTATTATTGCTTGGATTGCCTGCTCTCCCAGAACTTGACATGAGATCAGAAACTCCCAGCCAGAGAGGATATGAGGGTGAGGAGGCATTTGACCACCATACCAGGTATGTAAATAAACCAGAAAAGGCCTCTGTGGGCTCTGCTCTGACCCCTTCCTCAACCCTACGGCTCCCAGTTAACATCTGAGTTCTACTTTCCTTCCTGTCTCTCCAGGAGTGTCAGATGGTCCACCCAGCAGAGAAGGACAAGGCACTTTGCCAATCTGGTCTATTACGTCTGCCAGATCTGTCCAAAGAGCTGACCTTCCAACTGTCTAAGATTCTGCCTATCTCATATGGCCTTTATGTTTTCTCTTGCTAAGCACTATTCATTCTATGGGTCAATGATATTGCCCCAGAGAACTCCTATGGCCATTTCCTGTTCCCTGTCATCCTATCTTTCCTAGTTCTTCTAGCTACTGTGTTATTTGAAGTGGAGCAAAGGATGGGAAGGTAACAAGTCTTTGGAGAAAATCACAATGACATATTTTCATTTTTGTGTGTATAGACTGACTTCTTGCTGTGAAAGATGAGTTTGTTGGCCCGGCCACACGGGCATGAACACGCAGTTCTGAAGATACTGAAGCCCTTCTGTACCAGTTAGAAAATGTCAGCCACTGGACTCTGCCCAGGGCTCCCCCTCTCTCCTGGCTGCCCCACCCCACCGCCTGGACCAACCCCAACCCCCATTTCCCTGGACCCAGAGCCACAGGGGAAAGGAGACTCTGGTCCCATCTCCCAGGGGCCTTCAACACCCACCCCTTCGCCCCAAGCAGCTAAGTGTCCATCTGTTTTACATAACGGCCTCACGTAGGCTTGGTTTGCAGAAAGTATTCAGTGTGAAAACAGTTTGAAACCCCTGCTCAAGGTCAGCCTTCAGGCTCTTGCAAGTTTGCACAGTCTGGGATTTCAGGATTTCCGAGAATGGAGGCCTTTCTCCCTAACACACTAGCTCCTATTGAAGTCAAGTGCCCGTCTGCCTCCTGGTGTCATTACCTTGCATCCAAATGGGCAGCAGACACAGCCTGTGGGTATGGAGATGACCCCTGAGCTGGCCAGAGGTGGGAGGGGAGGGGCCTCGGGCCGGAGGTCAGGGCAAGGGACGCTGGCATCATTGCAGGCCGGGCTGAGGGACCCGCCCCCCCATGCACAAATTTTGTGCACTGGGACTCTAGTTTTTTAAATATTTTTATTGATTTCAGAGAGAAAGGGAGAGGAAGAGAGAGATGGAAACATCAATGATGACAGAGAATCATTGATGGGCTGCTTCCTGCACGCCCCCCCACTGGGGATCGAGCCCACAACCAGGGCATGTGCCCTGATAGGGAATTGAACCCTGACTTCCTGGTTCATAGGTCAACACTCAACCACTGAGCCATGCCAGCTGGGCTGGTACTTTCATTTTTGACTCACATTATCTGTGATGAGTACCTGATGGGAGAAATTTTACTGAAGTAATTAATTCCAAATTTGGGCATTTTTGCTATTATCACCACACTAGAGGCCCAGTGCACAAAATTCATGCACTCAGGGGAGGAGTGTGTCCCTCAGCCTGGCCTGTATGCTCTCGTAGTCTGGGAGCCCTTGGGGGATGTCAGTTGGGTATCCTTAGCGCTGCCATGGAGGCGAGAGAGGCTCCCGCCATCGCCGCTGCGCTGTCCAGCCATGAGCCCAGCTTCTGGCTGAGCAGCGCTCCCCCTGTGGGAGGGCACTGACCACCAGGGGGCAGCTCCTGTGTTGAGTGGGATTGGGCCAAAAGGGGCTCTCTGACATCCCCCAGGGGTCCCGGATTGTGAGAAGGTGCAGGCCAGGCCAAGGACCCCACCAATGCACGATCACCAGGCTGGGGAGGGACGCAGGAGGTTGGCCAGCCAGGGCGGGACTGTGGGAGGGCTCCAGGGTGTGTCTGGCCCATCTCGCTCAGTCCCAATCTGCCAGACCCCAGCAGCAAGCTAACCTACCGGTCAGAGTGTCTGCCCCCTGGTGGTCAGTGCATGTCCTAGCAAGTGGTTGAGCAACCTTAGCATATCATTAGCATATTATGCTTTGATTGGTTGAACGGATGAACAGACAAACCGTACACTTAGCATATTAGGCTTTTATTATATAGGACTAGGGGCCCAGTGCACAAAATTCTTGCGGGGGGGGGGGGGTCCCTCAGCCCAGCCTGCATCTCAAAGATATTGACAACCCATAGCCCTAAATAAAAATGTATTCACACTCTGTCTCAGGTTTCTCAGCATTGTGCCTAGACGAGGAACGTCATGAGAAATGGAAATAGGCATCCTAAGATGAAAAATAATGCCAACTTAAGGGGTATATACAAATTATCAGACTAAGGCTGGAAATTCAGGAATATAATCTCTTAAGATATTTATTGTAATCTCCAAAAATTAAAACAAGATAAATCCAAAGAACCAAAACCACTTTCTATACAGAATTCACATACAAGTTTAATACCTAATAGAGCACATACCATTTTTACACAATTAATTTCGGTAGAGAGAACTGAAACTTCACAATGTGAATACACTTTATAGCTTTGAACCAGACAGGAGCCCCTGTGGACAGGTGGGGGCTGTGTGCTGAGTAGCAGTTTTCAACAAAACGCCACACCCACTGGGGGAAAGCACGGAGCTGTTGCTAATATTTGCTCAGGACATGCTCCACAGTGCCCCAAGGAGCCGGTGCCAGCACAGAGGGGGTTCGTCTGTGCACCCCAACACTCTGTGGCACAGGGAGCACAGGCACACCCCCAGGCGCCATGGCGCTGTCTGCGGGTGACAGTGAAGGGAACCCTTGTGGTTTGGCACCTGGGAACGATGTCAATGTTTCTAACGTGTCTTCAGAACAATGCGTGTCCGTGGCCATGTCTGGGGCTGCACAGCACAGAGAGCGACGGTGCTGCAGCTTGTCTTCCTCGTGGGACAGAAATAGGTAACCGGGGTGGGGTGGGGGGGGATGGGCTTCAGAGGCCCGTTTGGCTGCGAGAACAATGGCTGACAGCTGCCGGCTGTCATCTTTCTGTTCATGAAGAACATCTGTCCCCGTCCTGCTGTGTGTTGGGCACAATCTCCTCAGGTCAGATTCTCTCCGGGGTCACATCTGACGTCTTCAATGGGGTCATTCCCTCCCGTCTGGCAGGCCCCACTCCCTGTGCTCCCACTCCTGCCCTAACTTCACATTTAGACAGCGTCCTGCCCCCCCGCCCCACCACGTTCAGTCACTAAGCTGAGTGCTGGGCACAAGAGACTCAGCAGCTGTGCAATGACTGACTAAACATTAAAACACTCTTAATTATGATTCTAATGTTGGCTACCTGCTTTCATTTTTCCTTAATTTGGTACAGGGCCATCACTAACCACCAACTTCCTCAGTGGGTTTGAGAGCTGAGTACGCGTTTCCGGCTATCCCAGGTGAGCCAGGCGCACATCCCAGTGGGCGCCCAGAGCCATCGGACATGACTGGAAGGTCCTCAAAGGCGATGCACAGCCGAGGAAGGAGTGGAGGCCTTGCAGGAGGTGCCGATGACCACGCTGTCTAGACACTGCTCTTCATCCTTCTGAGTGAATAAGTCCTCACTGCTCGAGGTGTCATGATGTCCTTTGCTGAGTGAATGAGAAGGCAAAGCACGATTTTAAGATGAATGCTGTGCCTAAAAACTGGGATGGCAGAGAGGAGTTCAAGGTCATTGCCCTACTTTAAACGTCACAAACATAAACAGTCAGAACCAGCCACCAGGCCTCATGGCTGGACTCCCATCGCAGTGCGTCCTAGGCCATGGCTGTGGGGCTGACAGGGCTGAGGGTGCACTTGAGGCTTTGCGACACCAAAGTGATGTAGGGAACCTGGCTTTTCTGTCCACCTCCCTGGTGTGGACAATTGAGAATTGAACTGAAATAACATTAGCTACAACCTAAACAGATACGAATATTTTAGGATTCCCGGGTTGACAGTGTTAAATTTGAAAACAAAATACAAGATTGAGTTACAATAAATATACATACAAATACAAGAGTGAAAATTCTTAGTAGACAGAACATGTGATCAACATTTCTGAGAATAAAAACGACTTTTTCTTATGTGCATATATTTTCTTAGGTAGCTAAACTGGCCTCTTAAAAAAGGCTAAAGGAGAATTCTGAATTAACAAGAAAATTGCTATATAAAGTAAACTAACAACCATTCTGTCTTAAAAACAAAACCCACAATTCTAAAAGGCAAAACTGACATATTTGCAGGTACTAGACGTTTGGTCTTATAGGAAATAAAGAACTTTGAGGTAGCACAGAGGAGCTTCACACGACACAATAAGGTACTGACTGTATAAGCACACGCTAGACACACACGGCTACGGGAGATCATTTGAGTAGGTCACACGCCACCCACAGCACTTCGCACATTCGCTGTAATTCACTTTCACTCGTTTATATACACTGAATAAGTCATTAAATATTGCACTTATTGGCCCATGAACCCTCAATTCTGAGGTGTTGAAAATAGAAAAAAAATCTATTTTTGTAACATATTTCATGCAACATTTAAGACATTTCAGTTCCACAAACACCATTAATAGTTGTACATGTGGACAGTCCAACGGCGTCACATCACATCTGACATTAACAACATATTCACAGGAACATGGAGAACTTCCATTCAGCACACATCCTAGGGGTGATGGGACAACGCTCAGAAACCATCCTAACGGTGCAGAAAACCCGGACGAACGCAGGACACGCTCACCTCCCTGAAAGGCAGGGGCCTGCAGCTCACACACCACATGCCATTAGGAACGCAGTCATGAGCCACAGCGACCCTGGCCACCAAAAACATGGATATGGAAAATTTTCATTAAGATATAAAGTCACAGCCAACTCTCAATTGTCCACAGTGAAGGGAAGTATGAACTCAGGCAAATGAAATACAAGGTACAGCCCCGCCTCACTCCAGCCGGTGATGCCCAGGACAGCGCAGGGCGATGTGGATGGGAGGGAGGGGAACACAAATGCCACCTCCGACCTGCGCTGTAACACGTGCAGTGACACACACCCAGCAGATGCGGAGAGAGCTGTACACAGAAAGCTTGATTTGCCCACAGGCAGATGGTCTGGTCTCAATACGTGAGCTCTAACATAGTTTCAGAAATAATGTATTTTGTCAAGAAGGTTTGCAAATGTGTTTTCGCTCTATCCTCTTTTTAATGGGAATCAATTATGTGCACAGACACCCAAATCAGTGCAAAGAATCTATTTTATAGACCGATTTAAACAGTTGTGAGTGACAGCTGGAGTGTAGCAAAAGCTCCCTTTTTTCTGGCACTGAGAGCGCGCTGAATGCAGGCATTTCCCTTCATAAAAGGTGTGTCATGGGTGTGCACGTGCCTCTACATGTGTCTGTGTGTGCATGTGCCCATGTGTGTGCATGTGGGAGAGGCAACACTGTTTGTGGCCCAAGTGCAAATATTTTCATCTACCAAAGGGAAATCGTATTTGACTGGAGTGTCAAGCATTTCTGTAAAGATTTTCGAGAGAAAACGACGTTTATTTATGAGACACCAATAACAATGGGTAGACATGTCTTAGTCACGTTCCCCAGACCTGGCTTTGCCCTAGGGGAGGCTATACTTCTGGCATCTGGAGCCTTTGGTGCACTGCAGGGATGCTGATGCTTTTTTCTGGTCATCAACTTCATCTTTTACTCAATCTGTTTCACTTCATTCCAGAACATAAAACAGGCTCATGTCTTTGACTGGCTTTGGTCAAAATTCACCTAAAATAGAAAGAACTCTAACAAGCTGACCCTAACGGTCAGCTCAGCAGCAAAACTCCCCGCTGTCCTGGTGATCTGTGGGGTGCAGCTATTGTCCTGGTGAGCTGTGGGGTGCAGGTGTTGTCCTGGTGAGCTGTTGGGTGCATCTGCTATCCTGGTGAGCTGTGGGGTGTGGCTGTTGTCCTGGTGAGCTGTGGGGTGCATCTGCTGTCCTGGTGAGCCGTGGGGTGCAGCTGCTGTGCACAGAGGGGAGAAGCTGCCACAGCTGTGGGGCTGCACCTTCCGGCCACTGGAAAGGCCCCAAGCACGCTGACAGAGCACAGGGAAGAGTCCTGGAACCACACATGCACTCACATAGGGAGGATTCTACAGAGACACAGGCCAGCTCCCAGACACCTGATAGAGCATCTCAATACGATGTGAAAACTCTGAATAAACACTTTGGTCCAGAAGGGTTTTAGTCATGACTTCAAAGTTATCTGCTTTCCACAGGCAGCTGCTCCCTCAGCCCTGAGACAGCCTGGTGGCGTCTGGACACATTTCTAATGGAGTCCCCAGGGCCTGCAGGAGGCACCAGGCAGCAGAGGGATGGACTCGTGGGGACCCTGAGGAGGAGCCTGGAGACTTTGAAAGGTCACGGAGAGGAGCTGCTGGCGGAGCGGCCGCATGAGCTCCTCCTGCCCGAGTGAGCCTTCTCAGGGGCTGTGGGGGACGCCTGGAGCTTCCCACTTAGGACTTAACCCTCAGCGCCTTCCACACCCACCCACCGTCCAGAGGCTGAGATGTGGATCTGCTCCGTGGACGACTATTTGATAAAACAACTTCAGTCCAATGTTTCTGTTACCTTAGGAACGAAGGCAACATCCCCAAACCAGAGCACTCGGAAGTATTTCCTCAGATCCGTCGAGGTTTGTCTCTAAAAGTAATGGTGGGGGGGGGGAGGTGATAGGTGTCCAGAGGGAGAATAATCCAGTTGAAACACTAATTGAATAGCATCAAGGACAAAAGATGCATGTCTGGCATTCACAAGCTACATGGCATCTGTTTTAAGGTGTCTTCATCTTTTGAATACACATTTAGTGAGGCCATTAGTAAAAATGACCTCTGGTTGTTTAAGCTACTGGCAGATGGGGAGAAGGTAGGAGGTGTCGTGTGCACATGTGTGTGTGTGCATGTGTGTGCATGTGTGTGTGCATGTGTGTGCATGTGTGTGGGGGGGCACACATGGCCAAAGGCTGAAAGCCCTTGGAATGACAGTGTGATAATTTATAAGTCATACAACTTGATGCCATACACAGATGCTCCCTTCGTTAACCCTGGGCTGGATCCTTTTTTGCCAAATTTGACTTTAGAGGGAGGATCCCTCGATGAGGTCAGAGTGGAGAATACTCTCCCCACGCACATCACAGAAGACACACCGTGCCATTCACTCCAGCTCCGTGGATCCTTCCTGCAAACTTCTCCCTCGATGAAACCCACACCAAGGTTCCCCTGCGGTGGGAAAACGGAGTTTACCGATGCTCCTTGTCAAGACGCTCGGCCGTGGTCCAGTCACCCCGATGATCCCTACGCAGCTCGGCCGTGTTCTCCGGCATCTGAGATGTGTCCTGTCCCTGCCCACCGCTGCCCAATACACGCCCACCAGTACTTTCACAGGAAGATTCTCTACTTTAGAAAAGTGGAAAAACATCTTTAACACGAGTCCCAAAACAGGGGTGAGCCCACCTCAGGCGGCTGTCCTCCTAATTTGTGCCTTCGGCCTCCTGCTGTCGGCGCGCTGGGCGGGGACGGGCCACCCAGTGCGTCAGAGCAGCTGCTGGGGTGTGCGTTACCCACGGCGTCTCAGGGTGTCAGGGAGGGGGGGTGGTGCGGACAGTGCCCTCCTTCCTCTCACGTTGCTGCTGGGTCCTGAGTGTCTCCCGGACTCTGAGCATCTGGTGACAGAGGCAGGGGTGAGGCTCACAGGTGGGGAGACGCTCGAGAAGGATGAACGGCTGATGGAAAAGGTGGAGAGGAAAGTGGTCTCTTTCCCCACCTGGGTCCACGGGGATGCTGTTCAGACGACTTCTGATCAGGGAACATGAGCATCGGGAGCTGTGCCCTGGGAGGAGGGCTCCAAGGAGCTTCAATCTGCACCCGGGTCTGAACCAGAAGGGCTGGTGCTGGTGCCTGTTATGGAGCTACCGTGTGCGATGGGACAGTTGTGTGTAATGGGGGTGGTGCATGTAATGGGGGGTAGTGCGTGTTATGGGGGTGATTGCATGTTATGGGGACAAGTGTATGTTATGGGGGGTAGTGTGTGTTATGTCGGGTAGTGTGTGTTATGTCGGGTAGTGTGTGTTATGTCGGGTAGTGTGTGTTATGTCGGGTAGTGTGTGTTATGTCGGGTAGTGTGTGTTATGTCGGGTAGTGTGTGTTATGTCGGGTAGTGTGTGTTATGTCGGGTAGTGTGTGTTATGTCGGGTAGTGTGTGTTATGTCGGGTAGTGTGTGTTATGTCGGGTAGTGTGTGTTATGTCGGGTAGTGTGTGTTATGTCGGGTAGTGTGTGTTATGTCGGGTAGTGTGTGTTATGTCGGGTAGTGTGTGTTATGTCGGGTAGTGTGTGTTATGTCGGGTAGTGTGTGTTATGTCGGGTAGTGTGTGTTATGTCGGGTAGTGTGTGTTATGTCGGGTAGTGTGTGTTATGTCGGGTAGTGTGTGTTATGTCGGGTAGTGTGTGTTATGTCGGGTAGTGTGTGTTATGTCGGGTAGTGTGTGTTATGTCGGGTAGTGTGTGTTATGTCGGGTAGTGTGTGTTATGTCGGGTAGTGTGTGTTATGTCGGGTAGTGTGTGTTATGTCGGGTAGTGTGTGTTATGTCGGGTAGTGTGTGTTATGTCGGGTAGTGTGTGTTATGTCGGGTAGTGTGTGTTATGTCGGGTAGTGTGTGTTATGTCGGGTAGTGTGTGTTATGTCGGGTAGTGTGTGTTATGTCGGGTAGTGTGTGTTATGTCGGGTAGTGTGTGTTATGTCGGGTAGTGTGTGTTATGTCGGGTAGTGTGTGTTATGTCGGGTAGTGTGTGTTATGTGGGGTAGTGTGTGTTATGGGGGTAGTCTGTGTTATGGGGGGGGAGTGTGTGTTATGGGGGGTAGTGTGTGTTATGGGGGGTAGTGTGTGTTATGTGGGGGTAGTGTGTGTTATGGGGGGTAGTGTGTGTTATGTGGGGGTAGTGTGTGTTATGGGGGGTAGTGTGTGTTATGTGGGGGTAGTGTGTGTTATGGGGGGTAGTGTGTGTTATGTGGGGGTAGTGTGTGTTATGGGGGGTAGTGTGTGTTATGTGGGGGTAGTGTGTGTTATGGGGGGTAGTGTGTGTTATGTGGGGGTAGTGTGTGTTATGGGGGGTAGTGTGTGTTATGTGGGGGTAGTGTGTGTTATGGGGGGTAGTGTGTGTTATGTGGGGGTAGTGTGTGTTATGGGGGGTAGTGTGTGTTATGTGGGGGTAGTGTGTGTTATGGGGGGTAGTGTGTGTTATGTGGGGGTAGTGTGTGTTATGGGGGGCTAGCTAGTGAAGTGATGGGGGAGCTCATTCTACAGCTACTCACTGTAGAATGTAATCACCCCTATAACACACACCCTTGCCGTCAGCACGCCTATTGCATAACCTTCAGTGGAATCCTCCCGGCCGGCCGGCCAGTGCCCTCCAATGCCCAGCGTGTTGGGAAGCATCAGTGGAAAGAGCAGTCCTGGTGAGGGTGCCCCTCATTTAAACATCTGAGCTACGATCAGTTCAGACCAGTTCCAGGCAGGTGAATACCCGTCTCTTAGGAATCTTGCAAGGGCCTTAAACAATATTTCAATTTCTTTATAGTTGGTCTCCCAGTTATTAATAACACTGAAAAGGAGACACAGTGACCTGCCTTGTACAGTAACCTGCCCTGAAAATGGGTAATTTACTCAGAAAATATGAGTCCTGTGCCCACTTGATTTTCAATTAAAAGCAAACGAGATATCCTCAGATCTCCCGTCTCCCCTCCCAACACAAGCAAGGCCTTGTTACCATCCCCTCCAGTGACCAGCGGAATTCGAACCCATGGCACAAAAGTCAGCAGAAGTGCATTTATAGCCTGAGGTCCCAGCAGTAGCCCAGTCTGAGAAGAAATCTGAAACATAAAGACCCTAGAAGACACAGAACAAATCACATGCAAATACCAGATGTGGGTGGGTGGAGAGTCTCATGGATTTAAGATCACGTATTTGCCACATTTCCACTCAGGGAGTTGCCCAAGAATTCAGTGCGTGGAACAGCCATCGACACACAGCTCTCCCTCGTCTCCCTGCGGCAGTGAGTGCCGGCTGCCGGCCTTCCTTCCGTGGATGCTGCTGGCTGGTGCCAGGCCCGCTGCCCTTGAGGGGTTAGCAGCCACAGCCAGGCTGCGGCGGGGGAGGCGTCTCCTTGAGCCTCGCGCTCTGCTTCGCAGCGGTGGCGGCCTGCTCAGTGTCTAGACTCTCTGACATTTTGTCACAGATGACATCCACCAGGCGCTCAAAGGTCTGCTTGACGTTAATGTTGTCCTTGGCGCTTGTTTCAAAAAACTCAAACCCTGCAAGGAACACAGGAAGCAGAGCCTGGTCATTCTGCCAGAACGGAAGGGACTTGGGTGTGTTAGGGCGGGGACGGTGGGACAGGGCGGGGGTCTGGGGGGGAGGCATGCGTTGCCATTTCCACAAACCCTGGGCTCGGTGATGCTCAGGCGCTTTTTCTCTATGATTCACCTGTGCTCCCAGCGAGGCTGCACAGACTGAAGGAGCCCTCGGCCAGGTCAGGAGCCAACACTCAGGATCCTCAACACAGGGTTTATCTTTCCTTCCTCCCAACCCTGGCCACCGTGGAACCTCGTGAAATCTTTTCTAGCACTGATGTTATTTGGCATTTTCTTCTTTCCCCATTTTGGATCCTACCAAAATAATTAATTTTCATAGTTTTCCATTAATTCAAAGCTTAGATTTCCTGTGCAGAGTCTGCTGCACCAACTTGGTCCAGCTCTCAGTCTGTGTGCCCAATGGAGGGTTGGAGGGGGACTTGGTGAATGGCCACCAGGGGGCGCCACCGTGTCTGAGTTCCCTGGAGCTGCTGTGCCTCCTGCAGGAAAAGCTTGAGTGGGATTAGCCTAACAGCCCTCCAGGGCTTTCAGCTCGGCCATCTATCGGCAGCAATGTTCTTACATCTAGGGAACGGCCCTGAGAAATTTCAAATGAGCTGCTAGAATGGCAAGTATAAAAATGCAGTGAGTTTCACACTTCTAGGATGTGTGATGGTACCTGGGCCCAGGCGGCTTTGCATGCTGCTCCGGACACAAGCTAATCTCTCCATTCATGCCCTTCACCGCCCCCCCCTTCAGCCCTGAGCTTGCCAATCAGTTGCCATGGACTGCTCTGGTCCATTTGGGGACATTGATCTGGGGTGTACTGGGTTGAACACAGAAACACTTTCCTAATCTAGTCTGCATTTTACCCTATAAATCCTTGGTGACATCTGGCCCCATCTCAGAGGAGCCACGGATTCAGAATGATTAAATCCCGTGGTTTCACCCCAGCTCCTTGGGCCAAGGACAAAGAATGGACTAACATTTTACATCCATGTCAAAATCCCTCTGGCGCCTCAGAACCACTTACTTCTTAAATAGTATCGAAGGGTAGAGAACAAAAAGCCATTCTCATGTGTTAGAATGTCTAACTTGGTGATAATACTGTATAGTCAGATGGCTCATCTGAGCTTGAACCGCACTGGCTACTCTGTGTCCACGATTAAAGTCTCTGTGACTAACGGCAGGACTTGAGCTGAAGAACCCTGAGTAGAGCCAGGGTCTGTGAGATAGGGGTGGACACCTCAAACCCTCCTTGGCTAGTGTTTCTCTTTACATTCTGCATGTCTTTACAGCAAGAGTGGGAAGAGTTCTCTTCTGTCTGTGCAGCCCACAGGGCCCGATGGTCCACGTGTCAGGTGTAGAGATGGCAGGTGGACTGGCCTTCGTGGGGATCCCCAGTGCTCACGGGGCTGCTTCCTGTCACAGATGCCAGGACTCACTCAGGAAGCCAGAGTCCCTGCCTGAGACTTTGGAGAAAACGATCCCTCAATTCAGCTTAGCTGCTGGTCCAATTCTCTCATCTCTTCTGCCCACACGTCCTTTCTTATCGGCCTGACTCCGGAGGCACTGACCCCAGTGGCATCGGAAGGATTTGGCCATTAGGACAGCCCGACACCACACAGTCTTAGTACGATGTGACTGCTTTCATCTGCTGCAGGTGCACACTTTCAGGTCAACAAAAGGGTCCTTGGCCCACCAAGCAGAGCTCTCAGTGCCTTGACCTAATCTAACCTGGAACCCAGGTGGTAAGGAGGAGGTGTCCCAGGTGGAGACGCCCAGGTAGAGAATGCCGTGTGGTAACAGCCCTGCATGTATCCAGCCTGGCTGGAGGGGTCACCCCATGACACAGTCTGAGGGTTGGATTATCAGGCCTGTGCTGTTCGAGGGTCAACTGTAAAAAGCTCTGAAAAGCAGGCTTCCTCTCACTAACCAGAGATGCTATTTGTCATAAAATTGGATATTCAGGATAAAAACCAACACCACTGTTACTTCAGCTTGTAGCTGGATTCAGGGCAACTGTATGTGAAATTGTGCAATAACTCCTCCTCCTCCAGGTGAAATCTATGCCTCAGTCAATCCCCGTGTGTCAGGCCACTCACACCCACACCTGTGTGCCTGGGTGTACACCTCAGCCTCTCCGCTCAGTCACGTGATGGATGTTACCTCCCAATCCAATGGCCTTGTTCTTAGAAACCTGTAACTTCCCAGCCGCATACGCCAGCATCATGGGAAACCAGCACTTCAGTCGATGATGATCAGGAAACAGAGACCTTTTTTTAAATATATTTTTTCATTGATTTCAGAGAGGAAGGGAGAGGGAGAGAGAGATAGAAACATCAATGATGAGAGAATCATGGATCGGGTGCCTCCTGCACGCCCCCTACTGGGGATCGAGCCCACAACCCAGGCATGTGCCCTTGAGCGGAATCAAACCGGGGAACCTTCAGTCCGCAGGCCGACACTCTATCCACTGAGCCAAACCAGCTAGGGCCAGAGACTTTTCTATAAAACTTTGAAGAGCCCAGCCAGTGTGGCTCAGCTGGTTGAGCGTGGACCCGGGCACTAGGAGGTCGCTGGTTCTGTGCCGGATCAGGGCTACATGCTCGGGTTTCGGGCTCAATCCCCAGGAGGGGCCGTGCAGGAGGCAGCCAATCAATGTTTCTCTCATCAATGTTTCTATCTCTCTCTCCCTCTCCCTTCCTCTGTCTCTAAAAACCAATAAAAAACATTTGTAAAATCCATTGCATTTCTATACACCAATAATGAACTATCAGAAAGATAAATTAAGAAAACAATCCTATTTACTGTGGCATGAAGAAGAATAAACTACCTAGGAATAAATTTAACCAGGAGGTGAAAGACCTGTACATTGAAAAGTGTAAGATAATGCTGTTTAAAGAAGATACAAATAAATGGAAAGAGATTTTATGCTCATGGATTAGAAGAATTAAAATGTCCATACTACTACCCAAAGCAATCTACAGATTTAATGCAATTCCTATTTTAAAAATACAATGGCATTGTTCACAAAAATAGAACAAACGATCCTACAATTTGTATAGAACCACAAAAAGACCCTGAATCGCCAAAGCAACCCTGAGCAAGAACAACAAAGCTGGAAGCATCACACTCCATGAATTCACACTATTTTACAAAGCCATAGTCATCAAAATAGCATGATAATGGCATAAGAACAGATCCATAAATCAATGAAACAAAATAGAGAACCCAAAAATAAACCTCTTCCTACACAGTCCATTCCTTTATGACAAAGGAGCCGGGAATCACAGAACACGTCCCCCATAAGTGATGCTGGGTGAACGGGACACCATTCCAGAGAGTGGGACTGGAACGCTACCTTAGCCCACGAAGAAAGGAGCTCAACATGGATGACATGACTGTGAGACCCACACCCTGACACCCTGGAGGACACGGGGGAAGCTCCTTGACATTGGCCTTGAAGATGATTGGGTTTGACACTAGAATGAAACGCAATAAAAGCAAGAACAAAAAACCAACAAAATCTAAACAGTAATAACAACAACAAAACAAGTGGGACGACATCAAACTAAAAAGCTTTTGCACAGCAAGAGAAATAATAAAATGAAAAAGCAATCTACTGAATGGAGGCAAATATTTCCAAATATACCTGATAAGGGTTTAATATTCAAAACATGTAAAGAGCTCATACAACTCAATAGCAAAAATTCCAATTAAAAATAGACAGGGGATCTGAACAGACATGTTTCCAAAGAGGACGCACAGCTAGGACCTCGTGGCGCAATGGTAGCGCGTCTGACTCCAAAGAGGACACAGAGATGGCCACTAGGTCCAGGAAAGATGCTCAAAGCCACTGGTCACCGGGAAATGCAAGTCAAGCCACAGGGGATGCTGCCTCACGGTCAGGACAGGCGGTGAGCACCACATAACGGACAAGTAGGAAGTGTCGTGAGGATGTGGGGGACGGGAGCCCTTGTGCAGAGCCTGTTTCTCGTGGAGTAAGAACGGGGGGCCTGTACTGGGTCACAGTTGGGCAGCCCAGTTTGCTTCTGTGAGGGGCTTGGATCCTCACGATGCCCGAGTGTGGGGGGACCCACTCGCCCTGGAGAGTGTGCGGGTTCCCACGGCCGGCTGACCATCTCCCCCAGCCCATCCCCCCACGCAGCTGGCCTCGGGGGCTGCCAGCTCCATCCGGTGCCCCTTACCAAGCTGTTCCCCCAAACGCCGGCCCCTCTCCACCGAGACGACACGCTCGTCCTCCATGTCACACTTGTTCCCCACCAGGATCACCTGGGCGTTATCCCAAGAGTAGGTTTTGATCTGAGTTGACCTAAAAGAAAAAGAACAGGCAAAAAAGTGATCAGAAGACAGTGGAACAGCACAAAATGAAGGAGGAGAAATATATCCCACACGTGATGGTAACAGCAAAAAAGGCCCAAATTTGGAATTACTTAGTCCAGTAAAATATCACCCATCAGTACTCGTCAGGGATAACAAGTCAAAAATGAAACTACCAACCCGGCCAGCATGGCTCAGTGGTTGAGCGTAGACCTATGAACCAGGAGGTCAGGGTTTGATTCCTGGTCAGGGCACATGCCCAGGTTGCGGGTTCAATCCCCAGTGCGGGGCGTGCAGGAGGCAACCCATCAATGATTCTCTCTCATTATTGATGGTTCTATTTCTCTCTCTCACTCCCCTCCTCTCTGAAATCAATAAAAATGTGTTTTTAAAAATGAAAGTACCAAAGGTGCTGTGTGAAGGATTCCTCTGCACTTGATGAGCTGACATTACGATGATTCCTCCCTTTTCCCACACCCACCTTCACAGCTGGAGTGCCCACTGGCCCAATGTGCCCAGACAGTCTCTGCTTTAGGAGAAAAAGTCTCTGTTTTAGGAGAAAAGGTTGAATTTTCTGAGAAACCCCTCAGTTCCAGGAAATCCATCACACACAACCTGTCACTGGGCCTAGGAGTGGGGAGTTAATGGTGATTTTTTAAATGATTTATAAGAATAGTCATTTTTAAGATAAAAATGCCAGGTTGATCAATATCAACATTAGAGTACAACGGGCTGATGCTTTAACTGACTAGAAACGGGGAAGCCTAGAATTCAGAATAAATTTCCATGTGACCAACTTTTGATTTTAACTTGGATAATAATTCCAACAGGCAATATTTGCAGGTGCTACTCTAACCGCTTATATTCGTCACATTAATTAACCCTTAGAGTAACTCAGGGGGGGAGGGTTCAACCCCCACTTCACAGCTGAGGAAAGTGAGTCCTGGGGCGGTGAACCATTTGTCCGCGATCACTCGGGTGAGAGGCAGGCCCGCAGCCCCAGACGCCCCGCACCGCTTGTCACAGGTGGGCAGGGGGTTCCGCAGACCTTCAGAGCTTGGGGGTCACAGGAGCAGGTCTTCAATCTCCCTTTGTGAGGGCGGCGACCTTGTCAAGGACAAGACTCAGGTGGGAGACGTACCTCGCACTGAGTGGTCAGGAGAGAGTGGACACGTCGAAAAGCAAAATACTTGATGAAAGTTTACAGGAAAAGATCTGCAAAGTTCGAAGAAGGGAAGCTCGCGTGTGCCCTTACCAGCAAGTTCCAGATCCTTCGGGATTATTACACGGAAAATAGCGATGAGCTCCCTCAACTTGCAAACAGCTCCGGCCGCGGAGGGAGGCGCACCAGGAAGGGGCTCGCGGGGTGGGCAGGTTTGACTCGGCACCGGACCCAGCGCAGCTTTCAGATGAGATGGAACCGTCCGGTGAATGTGACCGTGGCTCCATCTCAGGGGGCACCAGGTTTTATCAGGACAATCCGGGAACGTGAGCTTCCTAATTCTGGTGCCTGAGGTCACGCACCCCTTTAGCGACAGCGAGACACAGCGCATGCCCATAACCAGGAGCAGAGGCAGCGATCTAAACCGTGCTTTCCTCTCGCCTCTGCTGTGCGGGTCCATGAAAATGGTGGATTGCGGTGAACTAAGGTGTAAAATAGATCCTGCACACGGAGAGACCTGAACTGCAAGTGCTCACATCGTGTGACCAAGGACTCCCACAGGTTCCTTCCAGGAGCTCAGACTGAAATGGGTGCCTGGGGGATGTTTAAGTCGCCCCCCTGCTCCCGTGTGTCTTCGGAGCCACGGCCTGGCCTGGTGCAGGGGGGCCTGGGCATCCCCGATTCCCAGAGGTCACACAGCAGGGGCCACCGCCCAAGGGGGCAGTCACCCTGCGTGAGGAGGGGTGGCCAAGGTCAGGGAGAGGCTTTCCGGGTTGGAGGACCCGTGCTTGTGCGACCGGCCTCCTCTGACCTCGGCAAACCCACCCCACGCTGGTGATGTCGACACAACTCTCACCAGGGTCGTGGGGTGCTCACTCCTCAGCGCCTCAGGGTCTGGGCTCCACAGGACTGCCCAGCGTGCACACGTTCCCAGCCCCTCACCCCGGGAAGGGGTGAAGACGTGCTCAGCCTGTGAGGAAACCAACGCGCAGCGACGGTCATCAGCCTGTGTTCCTCGGCCTCCGGGCTTCACAGCAAGGCTCCCACCAACCGGGGCTGCGGTGGGCTCAGGAGGTCACCCCGACTTCTGATTCGCAAGCATCTCTTCACAGACAGAGTCTCAGTCCCAGGTGAGGCCATTCTTCCTCCCAAACCAGCTCGACGCATCCTGACCCCTATCATCTCAATAACGATGCGTTTTTTCACTAGAGAATCTCAAACTTTGTCTCCCGTTCAGATCCTGAGGCTGAAGTCCTTCCCAGGAAAATCTCTGCCCGGAGTGAACGGTGTGCCTGTTGGGGTGGGTGCAGGTCCTCCTCCCCTCGTGTTTCCACGTGTTCACTGTTTGGATCATTGCTGTATTTTGTAAAACGACCCTGCGTGGGGGGAGCTTTCTATCCCATTAGGGACCACCTTACTTCTTTGTTGGACACGGACACACGTGTACAGAACGTGGCTGCCACCACTTACTGTGCGTGTGAAACGATGATTTATTTCCCAGTCGCTGCAGCAGCTCCTTTGGGATTTACTTTAAACTCAATGAGATTAATGGGATCAGAAGCAAGATGCTGGTCACCATGGTTACTCGGCAAATGGCAATTAAGGCCGACCCTACCAGGACCGCTCACAGTCATTAAAAATCTGTTGTCATTTATCGAAACACAAAACCAAAACAACCCTCTCCATGTTTACGTATTTTCTACGTTTGTGTGTTTTTTCTTTCTCCCTAAATACAGTCACACACACACACACACACACACACACACACACACACACACAGGGTTTTTGTTGGTTGGGTTTGTTCTACATCGCGAGGCAGCAGGGGAGGAGTTTTCCATGTTTGACACGGAGATGACTGCCCTCAGCACAGAAGGCGATGATGTAAGTCCATTCCTCCTGTGCTGGGCAGCAGTCACTCCCGGGGCCCAGCCTGTGCCCCTGAGCGCGTCCAGCTGGTCACGAGGCCCAGCCCAGTGCCCACAACGGGCCTCGTGGCCAAGAACTGCTGGCCTCTAGGCGTCTAATGGGGCCGCGTGCGGGACATGAGGCACCGGGAGCTGCCCTCCCGGCCCCACGCAGGGGACAGGCCTCAGCGAGGCCGTCCGGTCCTGGGAGCTCGCCGTCCACGCACCCCCTTCCCTCGTTCTCCCAGCACCTGGCAGCTCACTGCTCCGTGGACTCGATTCGTGAGGGAGTTTCTCAGCCCCCTGCTGCTCGACACACAGGACTGGCCCCTCAAGTTACGTTTTCAAACATCCAATCAGTTACTTATTCAATGTTTCTTGGCCCTTCGAGAGCTCTGAACAATGACTCCCACTTAGAACATCCCCTCAGAATCCCCGGGACCTGATCCTAGGATTGGAAACAGTCCATGTGGTCTGCCTGTGCCCTGGCTGGGACCCGGCACCTCTGCCCCTTCCAGGGGAGCCGCCGGTTTCTCACCCGGAGGAAGGAGCCCGGCCTCAGAAGGCAGCTGGCTGGTGGCAGGTCCTGTCCTTGCTGCTGGGCCCAGGCTGTGGGCCCTGAGTCCCGCTGGCCCTGATACACACGCTGCACCTCTACCTGAGCCACAGGATTCCTCAGCCAACGGGGGGACGATGTAGCACCAAGATCCACCCAAAGTAAAAACACACGGGACCGAGTTGTTCGTCTTCACGGGCTGTTTGTACAGCTGGGTCATAGAGACCAGTCTGCAAAACCTAAACATGCAAATGGCCAAGAAGCTCCATGAGATACACTTCCCCAGAGGGTTAAGATTAATACATGAGAGTCCAGTTCGGTCCGACGAGACCTGAACTGCCGGGGTTAGAGCTCTCGTCGTCCTGAGCCGGGTCTGTCAGGATCCCAGGGTGATGGTTCCAGTCCTGGGGCCGGGGCCCAGGGGCAGTGATTCGGACGTCAGGCGCTGCTGAGGTGCCCACGATGGAGACCTGCCGCCCGGCCTCATCCAGGGCAGGCCAGGCCTGTGTCTGCAGACGCCAGGCACACAGACCTCTCCGCTCCGCACAGCCACCTGGTCCGCAGGAATTCACTCCCTTCTAAAGACAGTCAGGTGAGGCGAGCAGACAGGGTGGAGTCCCCCAGGTGCCCGTCTGTGTGGGGCTTGCCTCACGCTGGGGCGAGGACCCTGTTGGGTTGTGAGGCCTCGCAGCCCCACCAGCAGCAGGGCCAGCGCCTCTCGCCCCTCAGACGAGCTTCCCCACCACCCAGCCCTTCCTGCCTTTCTCCTCCCTCCCGGGGCCCTGACTCCACTGGTTTCCACTTGAGGGAACTTTTTTAAAGACAACCTTTCCTTCTGGCTTAAGGAAATGTTCCCTAAAATAAGCTGTCTTATCCAGCTATCTACATTCAGTCAGTGCTGGTACTTTTCACATCATAAGCTGATGGGCTATAAAATTCTGTGCTCTAGCCATTTAGAAAGGACTCAGCTCCGGATATAAACTGTGAAGACAAAGATTTACATAAATTACCATATTAATGTACATATTTAAAGTTATCAGTTTATGAAGTACGGAAAGATAAGAAAATAATTTTAATTCTAGCAGAGCATCCATTTTTTCACGTTGCTTAACCCTTTGAGTGCCAACCAATATCCTAGGAACAATGCTAAAATCCCCAAGGCATTTTTGCTGATTTTACAGCAGTTTAGGGAAAAAATTATGATAGCGCTCCCAGCACTTTTGGCAAAAGACAGGAGGAGCGAGATCGCGTTCCCGGCACTCTAGGGGTTAACTATTTGATATGCAATCAGGGAGTGCTGGGCTGGGGGCCACAGCTACACTGTCCTTCACTCCTGAACGCCAGGTAACAAATCTATCAAAGATGCCGCGTTCAGGACCAAGCCCAGAGCGACCCAGAGGCTGCAGGCTGAGGGGATGCCTTGGATGAGAGGTGGGCTTAGGGATGGAACCGGAGATAGAGATAGTTGTTGTTCTACGATTTGCTCATAAAAAGGAGTGTTTTGACATTTTGACATCAGCAGCTGATGGGCTATATCCACAGGACCCTGTCACACTGGCCTTGTCACTACTTTTCACTTCAGAGCAACGAAGCTGATTTGAATATCTGGGAAGCCAACAGGTGATGTCATGGCGGGTGTGGCCGTTAGGAACATTTTCTACAACGTGCTCTTCCACAAGAAATACAATACAATACTATATTATTCAAAACTCTGTTTATATTCAATCCATCATTTTAGCATCTAGTTTTCTGTGTTTTGTAATGTGCATTATAGATTGGCACAATAGTATGTGCTTATTATTTATAAATAAATAAAGGAATGCTTTATAATAAAGAATCTGGTCAGTCTTTGTCCCTAGTTCCCGGGAGGTAACCTCTAAACCAGTGGTTCTCAACCTTGGCTGCACATTAGAATCACTTGGGAATCTTTTTAAAATCCTGATTTCTGGGCCTCATCCTCCAGAAATTCTGTTTCTTTGTTACTAATGTTGTGGCCCCACCACATTAGTAACAAAGAAACAGAATTTCTGGAGGATGAGGCCCAGAAATCAGGATTTTAAGAAGATTCCCAGGTGCTTCTAATGTGCAGCCAAGGTTGTGAACCACTGCAAACCCTATTATTTCCAAAGTGATTGGAGTGTCTGTTATTCATGATGGGTCTCCAAAGCACACCTGATGGTTTATGCTAATGATGACCCACCTGATGAATTAATGCTAATGAGATGGCTCACCTGATAGTTAATGCTAATAGTGACTCACCTGATAGTTAATGCTAATGAGATGACTCACCTGATAGTTAATGCTAATGAGATGACTCACCTGATAGTTAATGCTAATGAAATCAGAATTGGGGAGGAGTGGTCATGCCAGGAAGACCAACCATGTGACCAGACAGTTAGCACTCTGAGTCCCATGACGCCAGGCTGCCTTCTCAGGAGGAGGTCAGCCTGTGGCAATGGTGCAACCAGTCAGCCTACGTAGTGGCGCCCCATGAAGGTTGGGCATCAGACCCGGGGGAACCCCCTGGATGGCAACGTCTCCCCAAGGACCGCCGGGCCCCCACCTGGACCCTCCAGATCTCGCAGTCGCCATCGCTCCCTTTGGCTGGTTCTGAGTTGTATCCTTTTGTTATAATGAAACAAACCAGAATGGTAAGGACAGCACTTTCCTGAATTCTGTAGGTCATCCTAGTGAATTGTCAAATCTAAAATGGTTCATGGGAAACCCTGCAGTTATAGCCAGGGGGTCAGGAGTGAGGGGGCCCTGGGGACCCCCATGTATAACTCGTGTCTGAAGTGGGGGGTCAGGGCCAGCCGTGGAGGACTGCGCCTTTCGCCTCCGCTGGCTCTGGGCAGGCATGTACTTTGTGACCACTCACAGCTTGTAGCTGCTGTGAGGACTGGGAACGTTTGGGAACCACCGAGCTGACCACTCAGGCCCTGCGGCCCTCTTCCCTCACTGGCACCCCTGGTGGTTGCTCTGGGCAGGACAAGTGTCCTAAAAATGTGTGATATTTATAGATCGAAATTAGGCCACAGGACACAATACACTGAGAGGGAGGCGAGAGCGCGGGGACCGTGGCACCTCTGGGGCTGCGTGGAGTGCGTGACTCTTGCTCTGGGTTTGGAAACAGGTGGTACAGAAAGGGACAGCCAAGTGGCAACAGGACGGTTTTGTCTGAATCTAACAGAGTCCCACCCCGTACGCCATGACCATCTTCTCTGGCAACAAGAGGACCCTCCCGTGACAAATGTGCTATTTTCTAATTTCCTCTTTGGAATGCTTTCCTTTCATGTCTATTTATTTATGTGGGAGGGGTGCGCAGGGGTGTGGTTTACGACTGGTCACTGGATAATTACCTTAACGAATGGAACTGCAAAGGTGCTGATCCACCAGCAGGGAAGGCATCACAGGGCTCGGAGCCCCCGCCAGGGCCAGGACCCCACGCTGGGTGGGTGGTGTCTGGGACTGCACCGCGTAGACCTGTGACTCCGCCTCTTCGCTCACTTCCCAGGGCGGCTGCAGAGAGCACCCCCTTGCTGCTCTGCCCGAGTATTAGAAGGTGGGCCCAGTGCCTGCGTGGGGACTGAGTGCGCTCACTGCGGGGCAGCAGCCTGGACGGAGATCCCATGGACGACGACCTGAACGTGCCGTGAGGCCAAGCAGCCGCAAGCAAGGGGCCCATTTCAAAGCCCAGGCTGCTCTCTACACTGGATCCTCCTTCCCACAGGTTCTCCTGATGCAACGGCGCCACCAAGCCGCCCAGGAGCCACAAGGAGCACCCAGGGCTTGAGAATGTGCTCTCTTCACAGTAAGTGTCATCGTTGTCCCTCAAGACCGATCCCCCCAAAGACAGGCAGCTAATTTAACAGGGAAGAAGGTCTATTAAAATGGAGAGGCCCCGAGGGAGTCCTGGGAGAAAATGCCATTATTTGCAATAAATATTGTGACACAAACCGCACAGACCAAGTCTGTTTCAGAGAGCGGGTGACGCAGAACGAGCAGCAACACGTGTAGGAAATGCTTTCATCCGAGAGCCCAGGTCTGCCTCGGACCTTCATGTTCCCCCACAGCCTCGTGAGGTCAGGCAGAGCCACAGGACGCGCTTCCCACCCTGGCCTCCCGCCTTCAGAACTCAGCCAGACAGGAGGCACCCGCCCTCGGCTCCCCTCCGACAGTCTGCACGCCAACCCTAACACCCACCTCATGCTGTCTCCACGCCAAGAGCTGGCTTCTGGGTCATTCCCCCGCCCCCCAAAACGTCCCCGCGCCTGGGCTCATGTGTGGAGAAGACACGGAGGCACACAATGTGCTTGGGCTTTTATTTCAGTTTCTGAAAGGAGCCATGTATCTTCCAAACACGAAGGCGAGTTCAGGTTGGGCTGTCTGTACAGGGAGAGTGTCCCCTACCCGTCAGAGCAGCCTAAGAAAGGTCGTCCCTGCCCGGCAGGCATGGCTCAGCGGTTGGAAACTAGAAAACAGCACCCAGATACCAAGAGGTCTGGGCGATTCCTGGTCGGGGCAAAGCCTGGGCTTTGGGCTCTATCCCGCTGAGGCTGTGCGGGAGGCAGCCAGTCAATGTTTCTCTCTTTCTCTCTCTCTCTCTCTCTCCTCTCTCTCTCTCTTTCCCTCCCTTAAAAAAGAAAAAAGAAAAAAATGTCACCGCTCAGATCCCGGGACAGGAGAGACTGCCCGATGTCCAGGTGGGAGGGGAACTTGGGGTCACCCTGTCACTGCCCCTCAGAGCTGCAGCATAACCAGACAGAGAGCTGAGAGGACCTTGGACCTTGACAGAGGCCAGGAAACACTGAGCAAACGCCCACTCCTCTCAGCGGCCCTCAGGCTACAGTCCTTTCCTGTCTGACAGGTCACCTGCGTTTCAGTGTGTTATTTACTCTGGAGAAAAAGGAGAGAAAAGGTGAAGGTGCGCATGTTTGAAGGTGAAGTTCTTCCTGGTTAAGGTGCCCTGAACGGCACAGAGTGAATTATTAAACCGGCGGGAAGATGGGTCAGACTGTTACCCTTGGTCTGGTGGTTTCTAAACAACATCCATCTGCCCACCAGGTTTCCTGCCTGGGAACAGCCATCCTACCCACAGCTCCGCATCGTGCCATAAGGCGCGGCCTGTGGATGCTAAGGTGGGCATCCTCCGAGGTGGCCATGCTCTCAGGACGGGAGCTCGGGAGGGTCGGGCAAGCGGGGCTGAGGCGGGTGGAAATGCCCTCGGTGCGGGAGACCCCGAGTCCTGGTGAGGAGACCCCGAGTCCCGGTGAGGAGACCCCGAGTCCCGGTGGGGAGACCCCGAGTCCCAGTGGGGAGACCCCGAGTCCCGGTGAGGAGACCCCGAGTCCCAGTGGGGAGACCCCGAGTCCCGGTGGGGAGACCCCGAGTCCCGGTGGGCGAGAGGCACCTCTGATTCGGGACTCAGGGCGTTGACCCCGGCGGGCCCACTTGGTGTTAATGAACTCAGGGACCTCCTGATCCCCCAAAGCTGGAGCTAAACTGGTTCTTCTGTAGAGAACCCGCCTGTCAGCCCTGAGGGCTGGACTCAGGGGCAGGGCCACCAGCTGCCTGTCCCTCCACCAGCTGCCCGTCCCTCCCCAGAGCTGGAGACCAGGCGGGGCCATCCAAGGCGGGAGCCCCGTGCGCACCACGCGGCCACACAGCGTTTCAGATGTGTGATGCGGCTGCATCAGAACAGGCTCTGGGTTACCTTTCCCTTCGTCCCAGACTTTTGAAACCTTTCAATGTAAAGAAAACCTGCAACAGCGTGGCAGATCTGGGAAGGGGAGCGGCAAGCGTGGACGGGAGGGGCCTGATGGGAAACCGCAGGTTCAGGGGCACGCGGTGCCCGGGCAGCAGCGAGCTGCCATGTGGGTCCCTCCCACGAAGCCCACGAGCCCGGCTGCTCTAATACAGCTTTATTCGCAAAGCCAGTGGGGCCGGGCTGGGCGTGGGCGCCCAGGCCCACGAGGCTGAGGTTCAGGCTCTAGCGCCCCCGGTAGACAGTGACCGCCGCCACACGCTGTGTTTTAGAATCACAGTGACGGGCCCGGCCCCACAGAGCCCGGGGGACAGGACACCAGGCACTGAGGGACCACATACAGGACACCACCACGATCGGGCCCATTGGCCCCTACACGCCACTCGGGGCCCCGCTGGCCTGTGGCTGCCAGAGAGGACACGTGTGAGAACACGCTACCCCGTGGGCAGCCGCCAAGGGGGAGCTGCTGAGGAGGCCTCGCTGGGGGGCGCCAGGCACTCACCAGTCCTGCACAGCGTTGAAGGACTCCCCGTTGGTGATGTCGTACATGAGGATGAAGCCCATGGCCCCGCGGTAGTAGGCCGTGGTGATGGTCCGGTACCGCTCCTGGCCCGCTGTGTCCTGGAAAGAACGGACAAGTTCTGAGAACCAGGCCATGCATCTTCTGGACGTGATGAATGACCCCCAACAGGCCCAACAGAGTCCAGCTGTACCAGCCACCACAGCTACTATCTACCTCAGTCATGTCTTTCCGAGTCATTTTCATGGGTTAAGTCTGCAAATTATGAAAAACTGTTTTTTTGCAAAGATCCAGCTCAAAGCACCTTGTACATGGTTCACTCCCACTGGCAGCAGGAAGTAAAGTGAGAAGGAAGACGGTGCGCATCACATTCCGTGTGCTCCGCGCAGTGAAGACGGAGGTCGCGTTAGCCGTCCTGGTGCCTCTCCCGTGTGACGCCAGCGCGTCATGTGGGCTACGCTTACGGGAAGGTCTCCGCGTGTACAAGCAAGTGCTGGCTGTTTATGCTGTAAAGTGAGGTCAGACCCCTTCTCTGTGCGATGTCCCTCGGTCACGGGGACCTGCCCCTGCGAGCCCAGCTGCTCCGAGGGTTAAGGACATGGAGCGCGTGAACCTGGCACACAGACGGTGGGAGGCAGACAGCCCACAGTCGCAGGGCCCAGGCCACAGGGGAGATGGCCTGGGAGAGCCGAGTCTGGGCGTCAGCAGAATAGCCTGTGTGGGTCACAGGGACTGTGTCCTGTAGCTCGAGACACCACTGCCCACTCAGCAGCACACAGGGCCTGGGACGCCCGTGCTCCCCTTCACCCCCAGCCGGGCCCGGACTCCCTCCACAGACTCGTGCGCTTCGAACCCAGTTTGCGGGGAAGTGTGATCTGCCTGCGGCCTTCTCCCCTTCTCCTTCATGCTCAGTGTGCTCCCCAGTTACCCCAACACTCAATGGGCCTGAAGGGAAAGCTAACGTGTCCAATGCCCCACAAACAGGGTCCTTATCATCAGAGCGAAGCCAGCACCTCCTGGTCTCCCTGTGGGGATGGCGGGCCTCTCCCCCTCCCGCGGGGACGCTACCCCGCCCTGGGCTAGCAGAGGGGTCTCAGGGCTGCTCACAACGTCCCTGATTGGAGTGGTGCAGTCTGCTTGCCCCTGCGAGTTCAGAGAAGGTGGTCAAACCAGACTAAAGAAATGTGCACGTGATTTGGGAGAGCCAGCAGGTGTGAAACGGGCGCTGACGATCAGCTGAGGCCGTGGTGGACAGGGATCAGGCTGCCCTGATTAGAGGTGTTTATTCGATAATATTAGGGAAATAAGGCTCCAGAGGTCAGATGAACACAGAGCACAGAACCCAAAAGAGCAAAAATAAAGCAACCCTGTGTGGGGAGCTTTCAGAACCCACCAAGGGCAGGGAGACAAGCTCAGGTCCCATCACATGGAAATCTGGCAATTCCTCAGATACAGAGAAGCCCTGTAAGTAAAATGGATCCAATCGAATGATAAGCTGGAAAAACATTGGCACCAGAGACCAAGGGTAACAGCTTTAATATACTACGTGGTGTTAGAAATCATTACCGATTAGGTTAAATATTCTAATTTTAAATTTTTTTGTAAACAAGTACATAAATAGCTAATTTTTTATAAAAGAGTTGAATCCCAAGTATAATAATAGAAAGGCAATACTGCATAGCTTCACACCTATATAGAAGCGACCTAGCCATTATTTAGCAAACATTTTTTGTACTTTTCTTGGTATTTTATAAATGAGAGAAAACATGGATATCATAAACTGCATGTAATTGGGACAAATACACACAATTATTCGGCAGAAAGGAGACAATCTTGAACAGATTCTCAAAGACTATGTTTGGGAAACAAGGTATAGTGGGAGACTGGGTGGTGTATTTTAGCTCATTAGGGAACAGAACAACTCATAACAACTCATTCTGTCTTAAAACTCCCACAGCGATGTGAGTCCAGATCCCCAGTTGTCTATCAATCCCTTTTTCTACTGTGAATTGACCTTCTTCTTCTCCAGGGAAAAGATCCTCTGGCAGCACCTGAGCAGCTTCCTCACAGGCGAGGGCCCCGCCCCCTCCCGCCCTCTGCACAGCTTCCTCTACCCATCCCATCAGAGAGACAGCCTCTCCCCCGTCAGGCACGTCCTCATCGGGGCCTAGAGTCGTCACCTCTTCCCCGTGGCTCCCCTCAAAGATGTTAATTTTATTTATTTTTATTTTTAAAAATATATTTTATTGATTTTTTACAGAGAGGAAGGGAGAGGGCATCGATCAGCTGCCTCCTGCACACCTCCCACTGGGAATGTGCCCACAACCAAGGTACATGGCCCTTGACCGGAATCGAACCTGGGACCCTTCAGTCTGCAGGCCAACGCTCTATCCACTGAGCCAAACCAGTTAGGGCAAAGACGTTAATTTTATTTTGACAGTAAATAACCAGCCCCGGTGTCATAAACACACCAATTCCGCACGGAGCACACGGAGGTTTTGCAGGGCAAAGTGATGACTGAAATGTTACAGGAAACCACAGGGTAGAGAGCCATCACATGTCGCAATTGAACACAAGAGAGAGGAGGACAAACACAGTGTTCAGGAACGAACATCAAAGCTTTTAGAAGCTCTGAAGGCCCAGCAGGAGCAGGACCCTCATTTTGTCTTAAACCCAGAAACACCATCTAACTAACTGGAGTTGTTGTCACGGGAAAGCTCTCAGGGAGAATGGGAAACGCACCGGGCAGGGGAGTGAGTGAGAAATACGTACAGAGAATTCCTTCCAAGGGCATGAGAGAGGACGATGAAGCTGAAGCTGGTAACAGACACACTGGCCTGCAATGGTTTTGGTATTGAAACCATTTCAGGGTGACGGGCTCATTAGCTTTTCTCTCCTGTGACATCAGGGAGAAAATGGGGTCAGAAAGCGCTTCACTGCATCAGCCATTTACCGATGAGGGCAGAGGTGATATTAGAAAGAAAAGAACATTGCGCACTGGCAACTGCCCCTCCTGTAACCACACGTGGCAGCGGGAGGAGAGTGAACGGTCCCTTCCCTTCCTTTGCTGGGAAATGGCTCCAAGCCCTGGCTTTGGGCTGCTCCCTGCCCAGCTGATCCGAATAACTGGGCCACCTGCTGATTTTCCATGAAAACAGGCTCCTGCGATTTCCCATCTGAAATCTCTTGCAGAGAAAACAAGGGACAAAAGTATGGCTGAAACGAAAGCTTTCTCCCAGGAGCTGGTTTTCGCCTCCCTCTCTTTAAGAAAATAAATCCCTTCAGTTGGTTTAAATATTTTGATTCTCAATCAGGTTTTTAGAAAAATGTTTGGCTTTAATGACAGGTTTGATTAGCAAACACTTGACTATCTGTCAAGAAAAAGACTGAAATGGGAAACATTTGCAGCTTGAGATATAGTAGCTGGGAACATTTCAGTTTGAATTTTGGCATTTTTGTCTTTGTCTTGAATTTATTTCTCTGATACTATGTGTTTTTTCTTTTTAAGCTCTGTGTGCTGCATTTCCAATCCCCATGGAGGTCCTGCAGAGATAAGAGGCATTTTTAATACTGAGGAAACAGCTTTCATTTGTAAGGTCTGGGCTATACTGTAATTTGGTTTTTGTCTTGGTGGTTACTTTTCTCTGTATTGGATTACGTACATGGAAAATGGAAGTAACCATTACTAAAGAAACATAAATACTATCACCATAATCAAAACACATTTATTGAATGTCCACACAGAGAAAAACAGATTGAAGGGCAGGCAATCCTGTACATGATGAAGTGGGTAATTTTCTAGTTGGAGAAACCAAACCAAAGCACATTGCTGTTGACTGGTCAACAAAAGTAGTTACATGTGTTAAAGGAAACAACATGCACCAACCAAAGAGAAAGGCCACAGACCGGAGGCTGAGGAGACGGCAGCATAGACAGAATGCGCCTTGAACCAGTGAATGTCCAAATGCACAAGCCCGTGGGCATCAGCATTCAGGCAGGAGTGACCCCTTAACCTGAACTTTGCTACATTTTACCTGTAGAAATTACTCTGAATTATCAAAGGAAAATGAAACTATGCTCAGTGTCTTGACTTCATAATGACTCATTCATTCATTCATTCATTCATTCAATCAACATTTAGTGAATGCCTATTACCAGTTAGGGACTGTGCCAGGTATATGTTAAATTCCTTTTATCTATTCTAGACATATTTTTGCACATTTTAAAATTCTACACCTAAGAGCATTCATTAATCAGATGTCACATTCCCTACATGTCTACGAAAGATGAGGTAACTTGTGAAAACATCATTTCTGAAGAACCAGAGAGTATAGCAATGTAAAATGGCAACCGAGACCACACCGCCGGCTCCGTGGTGAGCTGTCCCCTCATAGCACTGCCAGGGGTTCTATTAGGAAACGGACTGTGACCTCATTTGGAAATAGGGTCTTTGCAGGTGGAGACAAGTTGAGTTCTCAGGGAGGAGGGTGGCCCTGATCCTATGACACAGTCCCTTGAAGAAGAGAAAACAGACACAGGCCCACGGGGGTCACACGACGGCAGAGGCAGAGTCCAGTGATGCAGCCACAGCCACGGACACCAAGGCAAGGACTGGGGCAGCTGCCACAGCTTGACCGAGCCTGACAGACCTGGCCCTGCCGACACCTTCATAAAGGTTCGTGGCTTCAGAACCACAAGTCCACAATGTCTTAAGCCACCCATGGGGGCTTCATTACGGCAGCCCTAGGACCCTAGGAGCCTGGTTTGCAATCTTTATGATCAGGGCAAAGCAATATAAATGTCACAGCTTCCCAAACACACTCACTGCTTAACAGAAGAGAAAAGATAGAAAATTAGCAGTGACTTGTGAAGTAGTTGAACCTAGTTTCCCTGTGTGAATTCATGTAGTTATGCTAAAATGTATTAATATATTCCCTTTATGTAAAATAATTCTGGTCAGAAAAAGGTGAGGTGATATATCTTATTGTCTTAAGACCCTGGCCGCTGTGGCTCAGTTGGCTGAGCATGGTCCCATACAGCCAAAGGCTGCCAGTTCAATTCCAGTCAGGGCACATGCCCGGGTTGTGGGCTTGATCCCCAG